TTTCTTTTCACCTTCCTTCGTTTTGTCTTTTTGGTTTTCCGTCCTTTTCTTTTCATTCGCATTCTGCGTTTGCTTTTCATTTTTCTTCTCCTTTTCATTTTTCTTCGTTTTTCTTTACTTTTTCTTTTCTTTTCTGCTAATTGTCGTTTGCGATCTTGGCGAGTGGTATGAGATATACTGTTTCTATAAAGGTTATCTATAATACCCTCTTTTAAAGAAAGATATTCTTCATATGTCATGTTATCGTGGTCCTCTTTTGTCCTAAAGACCTTACATGGATATGATATAGAGGAGGGCTCTTCTTCGGGAACATCCTCCCCCTTACTTTGTAACATCCAGTCATTAAGCCCATATCCGTTATCCTGGTGATAATAAGGGGAGGCTGTATCAGACTTGGTTTTTCTCAGATTCATGGCTACTTTCAACGGTCGTCTTAGTGGGGGTCCTTAGTTTTATATGATTTGCTGAGTGGGATGGTACTTATTGCGTTGAGTGGGAGGAGTCATCTGTAGAAAATACTCTGTTTTATTAGATTCCGTAAAAGCATCTGACTCTTAATGGCAGTTTGTGATTTTGAGGCTATTTCAGTGAAACAAGGCTGTTTTTGAAACATTTGGCAGATTTATGCTTAAATTCTCTGAGAAAGTTACTGAAGGATACACTTTTGTGTATAAAAGCTGAAAAGTAGATAATGAAGTACTTTGTGTCCATAGATTTTGTTAAGATTCTGACTCTTAATGGTCCTCTCTAAATTTGATTCAGGGTTTGTTTGAAATGATTTGTGCTTTGTGTGTACAGACACACAGAAAAACACTGAAAAACACAAAAAGAAGGACTGTAATACACATGTATGAGACACGCTCCCCCTGGCTAGAATGAAGACAACAGTTTTTAAATGTAAAAAACACTTTTTTATTTTTCACACCCAAAAATCAAATAGTTATACTGATTGCAACATCCGCAGGACCGTCTCCAGCTTAGAATTCCCCATATGACTGGAGATATCGTGATGGAGTTTTTTCACTTCAGTCAGAATATTCATGTGTATGCTGCTTTCTGCACAGAGATGCATTCCATCTACAAACAGAGCATACACTGAGAGCACATGATACACTTTTGATGTTTGTTTCATTTCTGAGATAATGTTACAGAATGTTTCGGAAATGAAGATTCCAGGACCACTTTAAATGTTTCGTTTACAATCGTTTCCCAATGACCAGGAGCCATTCTGTTTACACAGGGGTCACTACTCGTTCTGTTTTCAATCGTCCTCATCACCACACTTATTAAAAGGGTATTGACTACATTCTGATCAATATATACAGAGCGTTTTGCATAGTAGTTTCCCATTTTTATTTTACTTTAAAGAAAAAAGTCCCTGGCTTCAGTCAACTGCTGGTTATTAGTCTTCTTCTTCTCCCCCCACTCGGCATGGATCTTTTCAAGTCTCTCCTTGAGGCGTCTGCAGTTTGTGATTTTGAGACTTTTTACAGACACTCTGCAGATTTATGTGTAATTCTCTCACAAAGGAAACAGTAAGTCTCTTACTTTTTTTATATGTAAGACAATTTACAACTGGTAGAAAGTTAAGTACTTTTTCTGACCAGATTTTTCTTTAAGACTGTGACTCTTAACACACCAGAGAGCCAAACATACTCACCCCCTTTTCAACGCCCTCCCCCCAGCAGCTCAGGTGTGAAACCCTCATACAGAATGTCAGTCCCTGTGTAAAACTTTTTAGTGACACTCTGCAGATTTGTGTGTAATTCTCTCACAAAAGGAACTGTAAGATACACTTTTTATGTATGCAAAAACTGATAGAGGAGTCGGTATGTTAATGTGGCGACAAATGTTCCCCTTTCTGCTCTGTACACTGTTTCGATGGAACACAGCAGTCTTGATAACTTGACATGACTAACATTACTTTTCTAAAATATATGTTTTTAGAAGCGTTACTTTGATTTCAAGGCTGTGATGGCGAGAGTTTAACAGTCAATGGCATCAAGATGGTGCTCAAGAAGGACATTGTCATCCACCTTATTGATCAAGTGCTCATGCCAGACTCAGGTTAGACTTGCACATTTTCCCCTTATGAATGATTACCCGATTTACTACATATATTGTTTTTCTGTAATCCATATTTTTAATGGTGTTTAAATTCCCTCAAGCTAAACAGGTGATGGAACTGGTTGGAAGTTCCCCGTCAACCTTTGGAGACATGGTGTCTGAGCCAGGCCTTTCTGCTTCCATGCAATCTGCCGCTGAGTACACTTTGCTTGCCCCCTCAACACTGTCTTCAATGGTGAGTAACATACTGGTGATTCAAAAAAAAAAGCACGCCCTTATTTAGTTGATGGCTGAAGACAAAGCCTGGGTCCATTCTCTAGACTCTATTCTAGTCACATTCTGGAATAATTGGTGATATTTAGATTTGTTTTGTATTTACCCCTCATGTGCTGAGTCATTAGTCAATATGTGTAAATGTATGGAGCTTTAGGGAAACTATACATTTATTGGCACACTGCAGAAGCTTTATGCCATGTAACAGCAAGTGTCCACTCCCCCCGAGAACATTCCTGGACTTCACCCAAAGGGAGTAGAGATGATTTGTTTTTGCATTAAGAACGACAGAGAACATTTCTCCAAAATGTCTAACTACTAATTATTGTCGTCTTTCTTGAAACTGACGTGCTTAAATTCTCTGAGAAAGTTACTGAAGGATACACTTTTGTGTATAAAAGCTGAAAAGTAGATAATGAAGTAGATTTCGTTAAGAATCTTTGACAGATTTATGCTTAAATTCTCTGAGAAAGTTACTGAAAGATACACTTTTGTGTATAAAAGCTGACAAAGTAGATAATGAAGTAGATTTCGTTAAGAATCTTTGACAGATTTATGCTTAAATTCTCTGAGAAAGTTACTGAAAGATACACTTTTGTGTATAAAAGCTGACAAAGTAGATAATGAAGTAGACTTTGTGTCCGTGTGAAACCCCATACAGAATGTCAGTCCCTGTGTTACAACTTTTTAGTGACACTCTGCAGATTTGTGTGTAATTCTCTCACAAAAGGAACTGTAAGATACACTTTTTTATGTATGCAAACGTCTTTCTTGAAACTGACGTGCTGACCGTTTTACAAAAACAAGTTATGTTTTCTGCTTTTTCATCCTCTGAATTTTCCTCCCCCGTCCCTCTTCCTTCACCCCTCACAACAACAAATCAAGGTGGATCTGTGAAATGAAACACCTCTTCCCAAAGCGTGACTTCCCTATTGAGGGCATGCGTCTAGGGCAGTAGGGTCTAATCGATTGACCAAATATACTAACATGCAGAACGTACGGTATGTTTTGAAAAAAGACTAACCATTTATCCAGTTAAAGCTGTCTTTAAGATGTGACATTGCGCACTGACTATTTCCCGTAAAATCGTGACAAACTATTACTTATTCTTAAATTTGATCTCTTGTTGCATGGTTGAAAATGATAGATGAAAAATAACTTTTTTAAAAAGAGTCAAGTTTTTCATGATCAGATACAGGTCAAGAAAATGCATAGAGGAGGTATGGTGCTGGCTCATTAGCCCTCTCACTCTTCTTAGAATGATCCTGTGCAATTATAGTTAATAAAAGTAATTACACATTAGTTCACAAATCCATATACTGAAAGAGAATACCCTTAGGTATCACTATTAAAACCTAAATAAGATCTTTTGAAAATAACCTCTTTTGCAAAACAAATACTTCTTTAGCAGTTTCACAAAAACTTGAAAAGAAACATCCTGAACGGAAGAGGGGGTGAGTGGTGTGTGTGTGTGTGTGTGTGTGTGTGTGTGTGTGTGTGTGTGTGTGTGTTGTGTGTGTGTGTGTGTGTGTGTGTGTGTGTGTGTGTGTGTGTGTGTGTGTGTTCCCCCCTCCCCATCGCCCTACCATTTGCCTGCAGAGGATGTCGGGGGGGGGGTTTGTGACGTGTCCTAGCTTGTCTTCAGACTGTTTCACCAAACTTTTCACGGCAGAGAATAGCAGAGAGAGAGAGAGAGTTAGTGAGATTGACAGTACTTTTAAAAATATATGGTTGTATATTTCTTGTTATTTGCAAGTATTTGTAAGTTACAGTCAATACTGCTGTATACAGGGGCACAGGAAGTGGTTAGGTGGCGGGACCTTGCTCTTTAGAGCTGAGACATTACTTTTAAAATATATGGTTGTATATTTCATGTTATATGCAAGTATTTGTAAGTTACAGTCAATACTGCTGTATACAGGGGCACAGGAAGTGGTTAGGTGGCGGGACCTTGCTCTTTAGAGCTGAGACATTACTTTTAAAATATATGGTTGTACATTTCATGTTATTTGCAAGTATTTGTAAGTTGCAGTCAATACTGCTGTATACAGGCGCACAGGAAGTGACTAGGTGGCAGAGACATTGATCCTATGCATATGTGATTCATTATAAAATTATTATTTTGTAAAACCGTAGGGGCAGCATTTTATTTTCTCCTGGTTGTTACATTTCATGTTATTTTGCCGGAAGCGGGGGCGACCGGTAGGGGCAGCATTTTTTATTTTTATCATTTTCAAATTATTTTCAAATTTTATTTTGAAAACCGGCAGGGGCAGCATTTTATTTTTCTCATGGTTGTTAAATGTCATGTTATTTTATTTTGAAAACCGGAAGCGGGGGCGACCGGTAGGGGCAGCATTTTTATTTTTATCATTTTAAAAATATTTTTACATTTTATTTTGAAAACCGGAAGTGGGGCGGGACTTCCGGTGGAAGGGGCGGGGCTTATGGAGGGGCGGGGCTTAGTCGGAAGTGGGCGGGGTTTAGCCGGAAGTGGGCGGGGCTTAATAAGTAGGGAGAGGTGTGACCTGTCACTTTCTATGCATACTAATGAGACGAGAGTGGTATGTGTATAACTACTTTCTCACCCACACCAAGCCATGGCACCATATCACCCCCACCCTCATCCACCTACATTGGCTGCCGGTCAAGTCCCGGATTCAATACAAAACACTCATCCTCACGTACAAGTCCCTCCATTCCCTCGCCCCCCAGTACTTATCGGACCTCCTCCATCCCTACACCCCTTCTCGGAGTCTGCGGTCCTCAGACACGGGCCTGCTCTCCATCCCCCGCTCTCACCTCCGTACTGTTGGTGACAGGGCATTCAGTGTTGCGGCCCCCACCCTCTGGAATGCACTTCCTGCCGAGATCCGTAATGCTGCCTCCCTGGACATCTTCAAATCATCGCTAAAAACACACCTGTTCACCCTGGCCTTCGGGCCCTAGCCCTTTTCTGGTCCCTTGGCTTCCTTTATTTATTTCTTTGGTTTGCCCGTTGATTGTCTGTTTGTTTTGTTTGTCCACCATGTACAGCGACCTTGGGTCCCTTGAAAGGCGCTATATAAATATCATTTATTATTATTATTTATTATTATTGCTCTTAAAACTCATTTCCCTGCTTCTCGTGGTTTCCTCTCTCCATGCTTCCCTGGTGGACTAAACGCAGGGAAACGACGCAAGTGAGGGACGCAAGGAATCCATTTAACCGACCTGAGATGCAGCCAGAGACACTGAGGAGTCATATGACCAGAGCACGAACCCAAAGCCAGCGTAGAGAGGTTCAGTGAATGTGGCTCTGAAGGTGTGGAGGTGGATCAGTGTGTCAGAGGAGACTCTGTAGAAGGAGAGAGAGCCAGCAGGGTGATCCAGATACACTGCTACTCTACCAGAGGAGGAGGAGGAGGAGGAGGAGGAGATGTCTGTTCTTCTCTTATTGTGCCTGACATAGTAACCACCATCATCAGAGCAGATCAGACTCCAGGACTGATCATTATATCCAAACTCACAGTCCCCACCGGCTCCTCTCCTGCTGATTCCTCTGTAAGTCACTGATATGAGAACCCTTCCGCTCCACTCGACCTCCCAGTAGCAGCGATCAGTCAGAGCTTCTCTGCACATCAGCTGAGGCCAGGAGTCAAACCTCTCTGGATGATCAGGATATGGCTGCCTCTCCACTCTCACATATATCACCTTCCTGTTGTCCTCAGACAGTATGAGGTTTCTGTGTGCTGTGTTTGAGTCCAAGGTGAGTCCACAGGAATCTGATGAGAGACACAGACAGCAGTTTATCATCAGACTCACCTGAAGGCTTTACTCTCTGTTAGTGATCTTTCTATAAAGCTTCAAGATCAGTCATGTTCTAATGAATAAATACCACCTCCATCATCTTAGTCTTTAGAGAGAAGCTGACCTGGGGCGGTTCTAGGGGGGCAGGGGGGGCCAGTGCCCCCCTAACACTGACTTTGGACCCCCCTGTGGCCCCCCTAAAAATAAAAATAAATGAAAGTTTATGATTAAACGATTTCTTGGCTGACTGAATAGGCGGAAGTAACGATATTTGTCATTCTAGTCGGACCCATTAGAGCAGGGGTCTCCAACACGTCGATCACGAGCTACCGGTATCTCGCAAGCCCTCAATAGCCCCCACTTTACAAATATGTTTTTTTTTAACGCAAGCCGTCATCGCCACGGAGGAGCACACAGCCTCTGTGAGAGAGAGAGAGAGAGAGAGAGAGAGAGAGAGAGACGAGAGAGAGAGAGAGAGAGAGAGAGACGAGGAGAGAGAGAGAGGAGAGAGAGAGAGAGAGAAGATCGAGATGATTAGAGAGATCCTATCGAGATCGCTCTCTCTATAGAAGAGCATAGCGATCCTCTAGACTCTCAGATCGCTCTCTATATAGAGAGAGAGAGAGCAAACCCTTTATCTATTTTATGTGTTGTAAAAAATCAAGAAATCATTCCAATGTGTACTATACTATAGGACAGTAATAAAAAAAACAGTTTGAAAGGGGAGTGATTAGTAAAATATGCATAAATAAAAAGAAAGAATGCTAACTAGGTAACATAAGATAAGAATAAACAAGTTTAAATGATTTGTTATTGGTTGTGATCATATTCTAAAGATGTTTGGATTATTGAAAAGTATACGGCTCCCTTTCATCTGAGTGTTGAGAGCTGTTTCCATAAATTCATTTTGTGCTCAAAGTGCTCCAGATTGATGCTTTTCACTTCAAAATTTTAAAAAAAAAATCATCCCGGGGCTGCATGCCCCCGGACCCCCCTAGAGAAGGTTCACCCCCAAATAAAGCAAGTTAAAATAATGAAATTGAATACATTGTCTTTCAGTAAACACTGCAAACGGGTCCCGCAGACACAAACAGCACACAAAGGTAAGCGTATAATAATGTGTAATGAAACAAATACCAATAACTGCATTTATTGTGCCCCCCTCAGGAAATAACTGGCCCCCCCAGTCAAATTGATCTAGAACCGCCACTGAAGGATCCACACTTACACTTCCTCACACCTGGTTTCAACCTCTGCTCTCCACCATGGTCCAGCCTGGAGGAAGAAACACATATAACAGCATATTGTTAGAATAACGTATTTATCAATGTTCATAATAATAATAAATAATCCTATGTGTCCGAAGGGAGCAGGAGGAAGCAGATGCTTATTGATCCCCCTTACTTACTGCTGATCAGTGTTGGGCAAGTTACTTCCAAAATGTAAGACATTACATATTACTTATTATTGTCTTTATTAAGTAATAAGTTTGTGAAGCTGACCGTTGAGCGGCCCGACCAAGCAAGGAGGCAGAACATCCAAAAATATAACCCGACGTGGGCATTTATTAAAATCATGTGCACAAAGTTCACAGCCTCAATCCTGCTGTTCTCCTTGAACACATCCTGCAGCCACAAGGATCACTCACACACCCAGTTACAAGGAAACAGCACCTAAATACACACACAGACTAACAAGACACAGGTGAGGGGGGAGGAGACAACACAGGGCACCAGGTGCACACAATCAGCAGCCCCAGACATGGGGAAGTGATATGTCAACTTCACACAATTAATGCAACTTAACGTCATGATTAATACACACTCAACATATTATTTGCACCCTGATTACTCTCAACCGCTGTCACCCTTACACCAGCATAACTCCTCTCGGCGCTCTCGCTAACTCCCCTATCTTTCCAGGCGGAGCCGAGGACCCGACCGGCACCTGCCAGACGACATTCCAATCAATACGGTTTAATCAGTTAATAAATACTACCTCAATAATTAGTATAACTTTTGTGCAAATATGTAATACCAACTGTACTGTGCAATGACGCTAATAAAGTGCAAACTGTTCACTAAAGTGCTGAGTTACAAGGCCGTCAGTCCACAGTGACAAAGTTACCTTCGTCACAAAGTTACATTACAATATTACTGTCTCTGAAATGTAATGAGTTACACTACTGTTTATTGTAACAGGTAATATATTACCCACATTTCATTAGTAATGCGTTACATTACTTTGTTAGAGCAAAAAGTAATACATTACTGTAACGCGTTACACCCAACACTGCTGCTGATCAATGATTATCCTTTCAATCATTTCTGCAAGTTATTCCTACTTACATATTTACAATCATTTCCTCTTCTATCTCCTTTCTTTATTAGTTTCTGTTTACAGCATTGCACTATAGTTTGTTACGGTGAGTGAAGCAAGCAGGACCCAAATGCAGATAACGCTGAAAAATGCCTTTATTTCAAGGATAAATTCAAATAACTTGGACAAAACAGAACTCTCCCCGGTGAACTCCGTCACCAACAAAAGACGAATCAACACTGAACACAGGAAGAGACTAAATACAGGGAGGGGTAATCACGAGACGAGACACAGGGGAGGAGAAACACAAGGGCCACAGGTGAACACAATCAGACAATTAGACACCAGGGAAACTAACGACAGGAGGAAGACACAGGAAGAAGGACCAGACAATATACAAGGAGGAAAACACCCATAACCAGACATACAAAACTACAAACGTGACATAACATGAGAATCCTGACATAGTTCTTCAAGTCTTTATTCTTCCTCTTCCTCTTCATATTTCAGCCAATATTTTGGCTCACAATAACTTCAGCATACTTTCAGCTAAAGAAACCATTCAAACTATTCAGCCTGTTCAGCACATGATGGGAAACTTTCAACGTTTTCAAAATATGTTATACTTTTTGAAATATTCTGCTTTTTAAACTCTTTTTTGGAACTCAATGGGAGGAACCTTCAAATCCTCTTTTACCTTGCGCCAAATGCTTCTCCTTCCACATACTTTCAGCTAGAGACTTCATTCCAACTTTAAAATGATCACAAGACCTTCAGCTATACAACTTTTCTTTCAGATTTTTTATATATTTTACACTTTTTGACTTATCAACGTTTAGGTACATTTTCAGGCCGTTTTCGATTTTATACTGGGTGTATATGGGACGACTCTTCAGAGCTAGAGTGCGTGACATCATCACTCAGAGCCAAAATATAAACTCTATTCAAATAATTTCAAAAGATTAGCATAATTAGTCTGGCCTGCTCAATTGCCTTCATCATATCATCACCCTTCTGGCCCAAAAGTGATCTGAGTGACAACAAGTCCACCTAGCTCCCAATAGACTCCCATGTTACATTTTTCCGGATCTTTCTTCAGAACAGAGAGAAGTAAACTTTAGACAAACTGCTCCCATCTTCACATTTACCACACAAAACCTAAAAAACAAACATATATTGGGGTTCCCTTTACTACTTCCCTGATGGCTCCCACAGGATTGTTGACATCCTCGTGGATTCATCTTCCTATTATACACACATGCATTTCCAAACATTTGGTCTACCTATGTTGCAAATGTATTATCTTTTCAATTTACACACGGCATCTATTGCACGTCTGTCCGTCCTGGGAGAGGGATCCCTCCTCTGTTGCTCTCCCTGAGGTTTCTCCCATGTTCCCTTTCAACTGTGGGTTTTCTCCGGAAGTTTTTCCTTGTACGATGTGAGGGTCTAAGGACAGAGGGTGTCGTATTGTCATACTGATATTCTGTACAAACTGTAAAGTCCACTGAGACAAATGTAACATTTGTGATATTGGGCTATATAAATAAACATTGATTGATTGATTGATTCCCTGATGCTCATGGTCTGCTCATTTTTTTATAGGAGCCATAGTTTTTGAACATGTGGCAAAATTGTAAGATATAATCGTCAATGCATTCTTAACCTGTTAAGCCCTGAGCCTGTTTTTCAGGTATCAGGCTCGAAAATGACATTCCCAGAACAAATGACCATATCTTCTAAAAGGGTTACATTTTTATCAAAGTAATGATAAACCTGTGAGTTGGACGTAGAAAAGTCAGAATCAATATAGATGTTTTTATTTTAAAGTAAATTCAGATCCAACGTAGAACATATAATAAGTACCCTGTATCAAGATTAATGCGAAACAAGTGACATTTGATCTTTTTAGAGGTTTAGCAAAAAAAAAACTCCACCTCTGAGGTGATTTGGGTGGAAATGGGGGTTTTACCGTTTCTCTGGAACCCATTGGTCGATTTTGCTGATTGACATCTCTTTCTGACCGTTAGAGCCAATAGAATCGAAGGGGAATTTCCTCACACACACACGGTAAAAAAAAAGGTGGGGGCTTTGCACATGCAGTTTTGCATCAGAGCGAACCTATCTCCTAATTATTGACCACTATTGCGGTAAGCATGTTGTAACTTCCGGTTGTTGTCATCTCCGAGTATCCCGTGTGCCCGTTCTGTTGCTGATAGCTTATTATCTTAACTTAATCGATCGTTTTAAAACTCTTGATCACGACAACTGCCTGACGTTGTAATCACACGTTACTACAGCTTAAGCACTCACAACTCTCCTTCTCTTAGCGACTGTAACTCCACAGTTGCCTACACTCTTTTCGGGTTTGCTAACGGTAGCTACTTTAGCTTGATAGCTAGCCATGGCTCTTTCCCCACTCTCGGGTGCTATTTCCTGCTCTTCCTGTCTCATGTTTGGTTACTTCCCTACCTCCTTTACTGGTACCGGTACATGTGTTAAATGTAGTATAGTTGTTAGGTTGGAGGCGGGAATCATAGCCATAGAAGCCCGGCTCCGCATCTTAGAAAGTAACTCAGCTACAGTAAAGCCCATGTTAGCCGGTGCGGACCGGCAAAAGGTAGCTCCTATTAGCCGTCCCCCGGCAACTCCCGAGCAGCAGGGAGACTGGGTGACTGTTCAGAAGGGGCATAACGCGAAACCCGCAGGTCCCCACCAACCCGTTCACGTATCTAACAGATATTCCCCACTCAGCGAGACACCCGCTGAGAAGCCAACTCTGGTTATTGGTAGCTCTATTATGAGACACGTGAAATTAGAGACCGAAGCCTCCACAGTCACATGCATTCCGGGGGCCAGAGCGGGCGACGTTGAGGCGCATCTTAAACTGCTGGCTAAAAATAAACGTAAATACAGTAGGATTGTTATTCACGTCGGTGGTAATGATGTTCGTATACGCCGATCAGAATGCACCAAACTTAATGTGGAGTCGGTGTGTAGTTATGCTAAGACAATGTCGGACACCGTAATCTTCTCTGGTCCCCTCCCCAATCTGATCAATGATGACATGTATAGCCGCATGTCATCATTTCAGCGCTGGTTGTCTTGGTGGTGCCCAGCAAACAATGTGGGCTTCGTAAATAATTGGACAGCCTTCTGGGGAAAACCTGGTCTGATTAAGAGAGACGGCATTCATCCTACTTTGGAAGGTGCCGATCTCATTTCGGCAAACATTTCAGGGCTTTGTGGACTTAATCCATGACAAACTGGAGTTGAGACCAGGAGGCGGAGTCGCAGTCTTACACGCTTCTCTGCGCTCTCTCCTAGGCAGTCATCCATAGGAATCCCGAACCCAATAAAATACCCAATATTAGCGGTGTGTGTGTCTGCCCAAGGACAAGTTAAGGTAAAACCTAATAGAGGTGTCATACATAATAACCTAATCAAAGTAAATGTAACAACTACTACAGTGCAACAAAACAGGAATATTAAATGTGGTCTCTTAAACATAAGATCTCTAGCATCTAAAGCAATATTGGTAAATGATTTAATATCAGATTATAATATTGATATATGCTGTCTCACTGAAACTTGGTTGAGACATGAAGAATATGTCAGCATAAATGAGGCCACTCCACCCAGCCATATCAATACTCATATTGCCCGAGGCACGGGCCGAGGAGGTGGAGTTGCAGCAATCTTTGACTCAAGTTTACTTATCAATACTAAACCAAAATTAAATTATACCTCCTTTGAAAGTCTCGTTTTTAGTCTTACGCATCCGACCTGGAAAACTTTGCAGCCAATCTTATTTGTTACAGTGTACCGTGCACCAGGTCCTTATTCAGAATTCTTATCTGAATTCTCTGAGTTTTTATCAACTTTGGTTCTTAAAACAGATAAAGTAATTATCGTAGGTGACTTTAATATTCATGTTGACGATGATAAAAATAGCC